GATTTTTACAAATCTCGACGTTTTACATCTCACTGATACGGAAAAACATAATTTTGCAATCTTGTCTGTGTGTCTGTGTGTGTGTGTGTGTGTAAACACGATAACTTGAGTACCGTTATAGCTAGGTTGATGAAATTTCATATATAACTATTTTATCAAAATCGTAGATCCGTATCAACTTTTGTGCAATTTCCGATAACCGGAAGTGGTACTTTTTCTACTTTGAATTTTTCAAAAGCCTATAAATTGAGTACTATTTCAGATAGATAAATGAAATTTTACATGTAAGTAAAAGATCTAATTCTCTACCTTCTGTCAAATTTAAGTAATTTCCGTTGACCGGAAGTACTAATTTACGCTATTTCCGATTTCTCAAAAAACGCATGTAAATTTATAAAGTACTAATAATATTGCGCATTATTATGCACTTTTTTTATTTGGCGTTTACTTGGTGTGCAATTATTTTGTCTACGAGATTTTATTCTATTTTTAAAACTTTAAGTATTTAAAATGGATTAAAAATCATGTCTATAGCCCGAGTTCCCATCCCCTGTTATTTTACATAAGAATATTCGAGAAAGTTTAGGGGAGATCACTCCCAGTTTATTTCTTCTTTATAGTATTCGCCGTGGCGTTGCGGTAATCGACTAGGTTATTTTCATGTAATCGACTCCATGTTTTGTTTTGTTTGTTTATTTGTAATTGTATTAATTCTGTAATCGACTCCACGTTTTGTTTTGTTTGTTTGTAATGTTATTTTAGTGCCGACTCGTGTCTGGAAAAGTAATTAACGCGACGGTGTACTTGTAGTTCAGACATTTTAAACTAATTAGTTATACTTTAGCGAGTTTAATTATTTAATTATATCTTTTATGACTGGTAATTCCGAACCCTTAACACACATTTATGGCAAACCTTTATTGTAGTGCGTTTACGGTAAGCATGGAGTACGGTACACACGGTCAAAACAACAATAATAGTAAAGGTAAATTAAAATGCACAGAGGAGCAACACATTCGGAAAAGGAGGTAGAGTTGTATAGGTCATACATTCAGGAAACAAGCATCAAGTATTACCAGACAAGGCCTGTAGTGGAATCCACAAGTAACAGGGGAGAAAAAGGAAACAAAAAACACAGCGTGGAGACATCGAAAAAGACGAAAATTAATTGAACGAGTTAGAAGGAAAATGGAAAATAGCTAAGGGCTGAAAAGAATGGAAGTATACTGTAAATACCATTTAGGATTTGAAAAAAAGCGAAGAATAAGAAGAATGTGCTGATAATGTTTTTTTTTAATTAAAAAGTAAATTTTAAAAAAATACAGATCAAAATAACTAGTGGCATAAATACATGGCTATAATAATTATGTTAAAAAATAAGTTAATCTGAAATTATTTGTTAAAAATACCTATAGGTTTAGGTTTCTAATGCAGTCTCGTTTTAGAAACATGATAAACATATATTCATCAATAGACAAGTAAAGTTTCAACCTAGCTGTGGTACTTTTAGTTATACTAACCACTCGACGGAGGTTGTTTTTTAAGGCATCGTTGTTAAGGTTAGGATACGAACTTTGGTTACATCTAGGACTTCGGTTGTTAAAAGGGCTAATGTTTAGATAAGGTATCGATACAGATGATGCAGATATTTTATTCGACTTGCAGGTGATTTTAGAAGGACACACCTTTGTAAATCGGTTTTTCCTACAACGACCTCAACAATTACTTCACATGGAATCATCGCCATTTTGTTTCTCAGTTAAAGAGGAAAAATTTCCAGATCTGTTGACTGGAAGAAAAGACTGGAAAAATTTGTTCAGCCTGGTCAGTTCATCCATCAAAACAGCTGACGAGAGCGCGGGTGAACCTTTGGTCAGCAGATAATTGACGCCGCTCTCTTGGGGATTTTCGATCAAAATAAAGTTTTTATTATGGCCAATTTGACTTGAATTTCACACGGGAATTTTTTTTAGAGGCATCTGGTTTTCCCCAGATTTTACGCACTAGATTTTAACATTTAAACATAGCTCATCCTAATCGCAGTACTAGAAGGACTTAACAAAGGCTGTGGAAGCTAATCCAGAAAGAAAAACAGGCTGAAATCGGAGTTAAGGGCTTATAAGAAACTTAACTAGTTGACACGTGATAATTAATTGTGTTGTAGGGAATCTCGTCCAACATTAAATTTGGAAGAAATAGGTTGTTGCAGGTAGTTTTTAAACTCTTTTTCTAAAAAAAAATATTTTAAATTATTAATGCTTAAATCTGCTGCATCTCTCTGCGTGTTTATAATTTTCTGGGATAGCTACTTTATTTTTCAATACAAATACAATACTTTGAAGTCAATATATGAGAACTACAGTCCAATAGGCTTCTTCAACTTCATGGTCAGGCTGCTAGCAATGTTTAATTTCTGCACGCTCCAAAATTTACGAAACTATATTTATACGAGAAAAATGGCCCGTTGAGGAAGGATACACCGGGCGCTAGGTTGATAGTGCTGTCTCTTTTCTCTAAACTAAAACCAACCCACCCCCACCCCCAACACCCCCCCCCACCCCCCACCCCCCAAAATAACATGTCTACCGTCCCATTCAACGAAATATAATTATATACTTTTTCCAGTGTCCGCCCCCTCCCCGAAAATTCTACCCCCGCCCCCGAAAATTTCAAGTACCCCCACCCCTCTCCGGGGAGGAAAAAGTCTAAACTAAAACCACCCCACCCCCCCCACACACACACCACCCCCCCCCCACCCCCCCCCACCCCCCCCCCCACCCCACACACACACCACCCCCCCCCCCCACACACACACACCACCCCACCCCCCCCTTAAAAAAAAAATGTCTACCGTCCCATTCAACGAAATATAATTATATACTTTTTCCAGTGTCCGCCCCCTCCCCAAAAATTCTACCCCCGCCCCCGAAAATTTCAAGTACCCCCATCCCTCTCCGGGGAGGAAAAAGTCTGAAAGAAACACTGGTGTCGCGCTTAGCCACTACCCGAAGAATTGCATTAAAGACATTGCAAGAAAACCACTTTTTAGATTAGACACATTAATTAGGCGGTAATTTTATTATAGAGTATCGATTACGACATTTCTTTTGAGTTGGGGCGGGGGGGGGGGGGGCTCAGACGTTCTTACGCGGAGAAGGTGGGGCTTCGCCCCTACCCGAAGAATTGTATGCAAGAAAATCTTCACGCAAACCATTTAGATTAGACAAAATTTCCTTTGTAGGCCTATTCAATGTTTACTCGAGAATCAATGACGTCATATTACTGTGTGCACTCTCCGGCTTGAGATACTGTGCTAAATGTGTCGACGTCATACTTCGTTTTTCGAATTACTATGCAGGTTTTTAATTTGCTTGTGTTTTCTCTAGAGCGTTCTTGTCAGACAGAGCGTTCTTGTCAGATAGATAGACAGACAGCGAAACTATTATTATAGACGAGAAAAATGGCCCGTTGAGGAAGGATACACCGGGCGCTAGGCTGATAGTGCTGTCTCTTTTCTCTAAACTAAAACCACCCCCCCCCACACACCCCCCCACACCCCCCACCCACCCCACACCCCCACACACACCACCCCCCACCCCCCCACACACCACCCCCACCCCCCCCCCCACACCCCAAAAAACATGTATACCGTCCCATTCAACGAAATATAATTATATACTTTTTTCCAGTGTCCGCCCCCTCCCCGAAAATTCTACCCCCGCCCCCGAAAATTTCAAGTACCCCCCACCCCTCTCCGGGGAGGAAAAAGTCTAAACTAAAACCACCCCACCCCCCACACACACCACCCCCCACCCCCCACACACACCACCCCCCCCCACACACACACCACCCCCCCACCTCCCCCCCCCAAAAAAAAAAACATGTCTACCGTCCCATTCAACGAAATATAATTATATACTTTTTCCAGTGTCCGCCCCCTCCCCGAAAATTCTACCCCCGCCACCGAAAATTTCAAGTACCCCCACCCCTCTCCGGGGAGGAAAAAGTCTAAATTAAAACCACCCCACCCCTCCCCCCCACACACCCCACCCCCCCCCCCCCCCCACCCCCCTAAAAAAACATGTCTACCGTCCCATTCAACGAAATATAATTATATACTTTTTCCAGTGTCCGCCCCCTCCCCGAGGGGGGGGGGGGGGCTCAGACGTTCTTACGCGGGGGTGGGGCTTCGCCCCTACCCGAAGAATTGTATGAAAGAAACTCTTCACGCAAACCACTTAGATTAGACAAAATTGCCTTTGTATTGAATGTTTACTCGAGAATCAATGACGTCATATTAATGTGTGCACTATCCGGCTTGAGATTATTTTCTACTCTGTGCTAAATGTGTCGACGTCATACTTCGTTTTTCGAATTACTATGCAGGTTTTTAATTTGCTTGTGTTTTCTCTAGAGCGTTCTTGTCAGACAGATAGATAGATAGATAGACAGACAGCGAAACTATTAGTATTAATAGGCTACACAAACGATTTTCTATGATCCAAAAGATAAAAAAAAATATACTAGAAGTGTTTAGAAGGGACAACAAATCTACAACGTTAAATTTCAGAAATGTTAAATGCGTGAAAAAGTAAACCCACAAACATAGATTGAATTGAAAATGATATTAAATCAAGTAAATAATGCCTCGACCTAAATTCTTCGTAAAAAATAAATATGATCTATAATATCTTTATAAAATTTTGTATATATATTTTAAGGCACCCCCTATCCCTCCATCCACGTTAACACGAAGTAAACTGTCTAATAAGTTTTGTGTTTGCTTCATAAATAATTTTTTTTTTCAAAAATGCACTATGTTTACTTTTAACATGTCTTTATTAATATTTTTAGACTAAAGCAGATTATATTGTAATTTAACTCTTTTGATAAAAGTGAGGTAAAAAATCTTCTAGAAAAATAGTTAATTTACTCGCGTGATAAAAATAAACAACTTCAGACATTAAACCATTAATTATTTAAATATTTTTACTTTACAGGTCCCACGGGAATTTTTTCATGACTGCCAGCTCCCAATAGGACATCGACACAAGCAACCCAACTTAATTTTTTTTTAAACTCAACAAATCTCATCCAAGCCAGTATTTTATGTTGGACAAGTCTGACGTCATTTTGTTTTTTAAACTTTATTCATCCCGGAGCGATGAATGAACGGCCAGTAACCACGAGCAGCTGATGACGTAGTTGTAAGGATTCGAGTGCTGTCGTGTTGTATTTATTTTTAAAGCATGGATCTACAAGACAATGGGGGATCGGATGATGCACGTGACGACCGTAATGTGGGCACAAACGATAGTCTGCTGGCGCCTGCAGTTGCTGATAGGTAAGCCAAACCGTCTGTGTGTGTATCGAGTGACCAAAATTAATTTTTGCTGGAACAATGTATTTCTGTTCGTCTTTTATGTTATCTTTTTTTTAAAGAAAAAAAGAAGCAAAATACGTGTGTATAATGTTTCATTATATATTTAGTAACTCAAATTACTTTCTTATTTTAGAAGAAAAAATAAAATGATCATTGCTAGCAAGCAGTGGCGTCACTAGGTTGAGTGTCACCCAGTGAATGTGTGTGTGTGTGTGTGTTTTTTAACCTGCACTGCCGTCTTTGTAAACTACATATAGATTTACTCATACGTAAGACTTTTAGAATATCGCGCCAACAAAATACACGTTGCACTTTAGCTTTTTTCTCCTTAAAAGGAACGTTAACTCGAACAAATATTTGTAATGCTATTTTGTATCGAAGCATTTAATGTACATTTGAGCATTCATTGAGTATTTCTCTATGTCTCTCTATGTCTTTCTCTATGTTTCTGTATGCCTTTCTCTATGTCTTTATCTGTGTCTTTCTCTATGTCCCTCTCTATGTCTTTCTGTATGCCTTTCTCTATGTTTTTCTCTTTGTCTTTCTCTATGCCTTTCTGTGTCTTTCTCTGTCTTTCTCTATGTCTTTCTCTATGCCTTTCTCTATGTCTTTCTCTGTCTTTCCCACAGCTGTGCAGTCACCGTTCTACCACAAGACGACGAAATCAGCTACAAGTTCGGATCCAGGGACCGAACCCACCAAGGAGTACGGCGGTACCAGCAAGGCCTGAAGAACCTCGTCCCAGTCCGCTGCATGAAAACGTAAGAAACAGCTCAGTGATGATTTGAGGCTTAGTTTATTTTGTGGAGCTTTTTGGGCTTTTAATGGGATTTTTCTTATATTACAATGTCTGTTTGTCTGTGTGTTGGTTTGTGGTCAAATTTTGTTACTCAATTTCGTCCCGTTTCTAATATAAGTTCATTTGAAATACAACGCAAAAGAATATCCTATTTTAACTTTTTAAGTATTATCGGGTATTGTCGTTATAAAACAAATCAATACTTTATAGGTTACATATTTATGTAGTAGTGGTCACGTGATCAGTCAGGTTTTCTAGGCGAAATTTTACAAATCCTAAAGACGAGATAATAAGAAGCAGATAGAGCATGTGTAGTGTAATTTTCAACTTAACTTTTCATTCTTTTGCCATCGTCATGGGTTGACTCTAACAGAAGTTCACACACTTGTACCGAACCGATTCGTTTCAAATTTGACACGCAATTCAAAATCCGATGACAATGCAGTGTGACAGAAACTTCGTTTTTTTTATAAACCAAGATTATTTTAATCAAGCGTTAACCAAATTTTACAAAATATTAAACAGTAAAAAAAATTAAAGTGTAAATATGTATAAAAGTGTAAAAATGTATAAAAGGTGAGTTATTATAACAGTATTTACAGGTGGGTTGTAACAGCATATATATATATATATATATGTATATATATATATATATATATATATATATATATATATATATATATATATATATATATATATATATATATAAATCCGCGCTTTGGCCGCACTTCGGGCTTTGACCGCAACATATATATATATGCATAGTAGCTGTATATCCAGGTAATCTGTGTTAGTGTAACGAGGTAACTGCCGACCCTAAGGAATCTTATCTACAAAGTCAGCAGTGACTTCTTATTTTTAGACAAGGTCAAAGAATTGTGCACTGTAAGGCAGATAAGTAGCCAGTACAGTGCAAACAGGTGGCAGTCTGCATGCAGGAATCTAAATAAGCGTGTTAAATATTTACCTAACAGATAGTTTTTTTTCTTTAAAGTCCATTTAGAAGTGGGGTTTTATTTTTCCAGTGATGTAGATACCATACATCTTTTGTGATATAAGAATTTTTTAATTAAAAAAAAAGTTTATGTCACATGATAGCCCGCCCTTCGTAGATGATATGCTGGATTTTGATATTGACTTGAACTGAGTCTATTATAAACTGTACTGTTGTAAGTTGATATTGTGTGAGTCAACTCAGCTTTAATTAGTACCTAACTATTGATTGGAAAATTTAAGTCGATTGTGCATTGTGCTTGCCACGTTATAGGGCTGGTGAGTAGGTCAACAACCATTTCTATGGCTAATGCAGGTTTTATTGAGCCGTAGAACTGGTTGGTGAGCTACTTACCAGCCCTGTAGCAGTATGTGCCTGGGTCACTATTGTAAAAAGTAACTGTCAATAAGAGAGATGCACTAGAGATCATGTAGAGGCATAGCGACCCACTTTTGCGCCTGGAGCCAACTATCAACTTCCTCCACATTTCCCCCCCCCCCCTTATTAGGAAAAAATCATGGGCGCTTTATACCAGGCACTATCCCTTTACACTTTTTATGTTTTTGGCACACAATTGATGTAGCAGGTTGTTAATTAAGCCCTTAAAGCCAAGTAACAGTCTATTTTCTTAACTTGGACTGTGTATGATTTAGTAATGTAGCTCAGAAAGAGCTTTTTTTAAAACTCCGTTTGGCGCCCCCCAAACTTTAACCCCGGGGTGGCCGCCCCACACGACCTGCACTAGCTAGGCCTCTTTCTGTATGTTTTGAGTGTGTGGTCTGCACTTTGATCAGTCTTAACTTCTCTCGACTTGAGAAAGGTACGTGTCAGAGCTGGGTGAACTCCGCGACGTCTAACAAACTCGAGCCATAGAACCAGCCTCTGCTTTTGGCCAGGATCGGTCAGGCCTTGCTAATTGAAAATAAAAATGATATTGTTATGATGAGTACTATTTCACGTGCTGTGTAGACATCTGGCAGTTTACATTTCCTGTAATTTATATGCTGTGCTTGTGTTGTCACCTTTAATGCTGTGTTTGTGTTGTCAGTTAACGTTTCCTGTAATTTATTTGCTCTGTTTGTGTTAACAGTTAACGTTTCCTGTAATTTATTTGCTCTGTTTGTGTTAACAGTTAACGTTTCCTGTAATTTATTTGCTCTGTTTGTGTTAACAGTTAACGTTTCCTCTAATTTATTTGCTCTGTTTGTGTTAACAGTTAACGTTTCCTGTAATTTATATGCTGTGCTTGGTTGTCAGTTTACATTTCCTCTAATTTATATGCTGTGTTTGTGTTGTCAGTTTACTTTCCCTGTAATGTATATGCTGTGCTTGTGTATGTAAAGACCCGAGTGCCACAATGTTCACCCCATTTTTAAAGTACCCGGTGTATGTAAGTTAAGGTCTGGGCTGTGGGAATGTTACCTGTATTGCGGTGTCTGCATATCATCCAGGTACACCCAGGTGAACTAACCCCTTTGGCTCAGATCAGCGCTATGTTAAAACCTGCATCCTGCACTTAGTCCACGCACATTGTCTCTCATGTACTGATCAGTAAATAACACGTCTGGCTCAGCTAAAACGCTATGTTGAAACACGTAGCCTGCACATAGGGGTCGTACATAAACGACTTCATACTCCAATAGGGGAGGGGGAAAGGGACTTGTGTCGGTGTGTGACGTGTGGCAGGGTGGGGAGGTTCGGAAAGTGTTGCGACACACTAGTATTTTTAAAAAGTAATTAAAGAATCGGAATTTTAACCATTTTGGCGCGTTTTGAATAGACAGACTTTTTTGCGTAAATTGTAATAAAATTTCATCAATTTTGACCGAGTACAGTAACTATTTTAATATTAAAATTTTTATGAAGAAAATAGCTGTTTTTTTACAGCGTTATTCTGATAGAGGGGTGGATGATTGGCTGCATAACGTCATTTAAGGGGCGGAGGGGGTCTGAATTTTTTTGACGATGGTTGACGATGACGAGATGGAAGTAAAAAATCTTTTTAATTAGCGTGAAGTCTTTTTATAGATGAGCCCTTGGTCTTCACACGTGTATTCTAATGTTTTTATCAGTAATTAACACGTCTGTCTAAATAACAACACGTCAAAACATGCATCATACATTCAGCCCTCATACATGTATTCTAATGTATTTATCTGTAACAAACATGTCTGTCTAAATAACAACACGTCAAAACATGCATCATACATTCAGCCCTCATACATGTATTCTAATGTATTTATCTGTAACAAACATGTCTGTCTAAATAACAACACGTCAAAACATGCATCATACATTCAGCCCTCATACATGTATTCTAATGTATTTATCTGTAACAAACATGTCTGTCTAAATAACAACACGTCAAAACATGCCCTCACACATGTATTTTAATGAATTCATCTGTAGCAAACGTGTCTTGTCTAATTAACAACACGTCACAACATGCCTCATAAATTCAGCCCTCACACATGTATTCTAATGTATCAACTCGAAGAACCACTAACACCTGTTCACTTTCTCTCTCTCTCTTCCCCCCCCCCCCCCCCCCCACAGGCCAGAGAACACCCTGCCCCTGGAGACCAACGGCTTCATCAACTACATCACCTTCGGCTGGCTCACCCCCTACATGTGGCAGGTGTTTCGACACGGCGCCGCCTCTGTCAGGGCGCTGCGCATAACGAAGGAGGAGAGCGCCCAAGTCAGTGCGGAAAGGTGAGGTTTCTATCGCCATCTTCTCCCGCTTGATGCTTCCCCTTCACCATTAAAATTCTTGGAGGTTGCTGGTTTTAAAAAAAAAAGATTGTTATAACCTTTTCTTCATTCGTTGTAAAATTGCTTTTATGTCCTCTAGCACAATTTAACCTCCTTCCCTTCCGCTAAGTTTAAAAAAAAACCTAAACGAGCAGTAAAAAAAAACTTAAAATGTCTACAAACGTGACTCATAAAAAAGGAGAGTTGACTTAGACGTAGAAGAATGAAAGGAAACTTTAAAGTATAAAACCGTGTAGCACTTGAAAGTAGTGTGACGAGGGCGCAGGCTAAGTTGGCAGCCATACTAAAGTTTTATCTGGCAAACTTTTTTTTCCAGCATTAAAAAAAAATTGAACTGGCCACCTTTCCCGTGCTAAAAGCTGTGTTAAGTTAATTTGCTTTTTATCGGTCAATTAAATAAACCCGCGGCAAAAAAAAGTTATTTTAAGTTGTGGAAAATTTAATTTGTTCCTTAAGACATTTTAGCTAAAAACATGAAACAAACAAAATGGGAAATGGGGTTTTAACGTACGCCATTACACTTTAATGTATTTTTTTTTTAAGTTTTAAATAAGTGGATTCTACAAGCCTATTTTTCTGTAACCTCCGAAGCATGTTGATTGTGTACAGTTCTATTCAATAAAACTAGACATTAAATAGTTCTTCCATTTCGGTGTAGACAATCAACATGTAAGAAGGAACCAAGGGTATAGTGTAAGTGTAAGCAAATAAACCAAAAGATGTTTACACCGAATGCAACCAAGCAAACCATTTTAGTTTTTAAGACTTTTTTTTTACTTCTAGTTTCCCGTGATGAAGACTTCACCTCTAAACGTCGCTTATTTTTTTTATTATTTCTTGGGAGTTTTATAGCTTGTAACCTTTGTAGTAGTAGTAATAACTCTACGCTAAAACAATGAGAGGCTAGGTGGATGTAGATGGTGATGTGTGAGATGGTTGAATATGGGAGGTGGGGAGAAGATTAGATATAGGAGGTAGGTTGGGAGAAGCTTTAGTATGGTAGATGGGGAGGTAATTAAGTATGGGAATTGGGGAGGGGATTGAATATGGGAGGTAAAGAGGGAATTGAATATCGGAGGTAAAGAGGGGATTGAATAAGGGAGGTGGGGAGGGGATTGAATATTGGAGGTAAAGAGGGAATTGAATATCGGAGGTAAAGAGGGGATTGAATAAGGGAGGTGGGGAGGGGATTGAATATTGGAGGTAAAGAGGGGATTGAATATGGGAGGTGGGGAGGGGATTGAATATGGGAATTGGGGAGGGGATTGAATATCGGAGGTAAAGAGGGGATTGAATATCGGAGGTAAAGAGGGGATTGAATAAGGGAGGTGGGGAGGGGATTGAATATTGGAGGTAAAGAGGGGATTGAATATGGGAGGTGGGGAGGGGATTGAATATGGGAATTGGGGAGGGGATTGAATATCGGAGGTAAAGAGGGGATTGAATAAGGGAGGTGGGGAGGGGATTGAATATTGGAGTTAAAGAGGGGATTGAGTAAGGGAGGTGGGGAGGGGATTGAATATCGGAGGTAAAGAGGGGATTGAATATGGGAGGTGGGTAGGAGTTTGGAAGCTGTGGGAAGTGGGAGGGGCGGAAGCACCTAAATATGTAAATAACAAATGAGGGACGAGAAATGACAAATGTCATGAGCTATACCCAGAATAATCTAGATGTTGTGTCATACACCTTCGCTTGTGCTTGCTTGTCATATTTGACCAGATCTACTATAGTACAAGTTTAATGTACTGTACAGACAAGTTCTTCAGTAAAAGTTTAATGTAGTGTACGAACAAGATCTTTGTCAGTAAAAGTTTAATGTAGTATACAGACGAGCTCTTTTTCGGTAAAAGTTTAATGTAGCTTAAGTTCAATATCTATTCATTCGAGTAGCATTCACTGCCACGTTTTCAAAATGCACACAAAAAGATACGGAGTTGACGGGAAATGTGGTCTTCTTTAACATGACATGCTCTGTTTCTTGCACCACTTTCAACACATCGTTCAGTATGTCAACAACAAAACCTGTTCTACTTCTAGGACTGTTGAACCCATGTTTCAGTAACGTTAACAGAATGTGTGCTGTCTTGATGTTGGTTCTTAAACTGTGTTAAATACATCGCATCTTTTCCAGATAAGTCCCACCACTTTTTGCCAGCTCTAACTTAAAGCACTCACGCATCCTTGACCTATTTCTGATGTCTAGACATTTGAATGTTTAAACGCAGGCCATTAATCCTTATCCGCCTCTAGGGTTAGGGCTGGGTTAAGGTTAAAAACTACAAGTTCCGCATCCTCTTATATATATATATATATATATATATATATATATATATATATATATATATGTTACGTGGGGGTTTGTTTTTAAACCGATTGATAGAGAAAGAGAGATGGTGGTGGAATTATTCTCTCAAATCCGTGCATCCTTGTGGGTCAAGGAGGTTTACCAGACCTGAGCAAAACTAATTACTTAACACTAATACAACATTAATATTTAACTAAAAATAAAACTTAGCATTTCAATACATTTATTACGTATTACAGACAATACAATAGATTACAGTGTTCCAATAATCAGAGCGAATAACAACATCATCACTCTACATACTTTCAGTACCGGTACTCACAACTCCATACATACAGCAACATAACAGGGACTGTCAACAGAACAGCTTTTCGATGACAGCCTCGGGTTGACATCTCGATGACTGGTACAGCAACAGCATCTCATAGGACAGCACAGGTTGACATTACGACGACAGGTACAGCAACAGCATCTAGCCGCATGTACAACGACAGCAGCTCACAGGACAGGTCAACATCACGACAGGTACATCGACAGCAGCTCACAGGACAGGTCGACATCATGACAGGTACAGCGACAGCAGCTCCCAGGACAGGTCGACATCATGACAGGTACAGCAACAGCAGCTCACAGGACAGGTCGACATCATGACAGGTACAGCGACAGCTTCTGCACCATCTAAACAGCAACGGTACCGCATCTCACACGACAGCAACGGCCCAACATCCCGACCAGCCTAAGCACACCCATACACATCTACTCCATCCAAAGTATCGCTCTCCACTGAGCTTGCAACAACCTAACCTCCGTCGTCCCAGGTATGCGACCTAGGGTCAACGGGGAAACGGGGGGAGGGGGAGGGGGGTGAACAATGGTTTCTTGCCGGGTCGTATCTGAATTGTTAAATAGGCCACGCTGGAGGAAAGAGGGGGGGGGGGTATTAAATGAGGTACCAGCCAACATATATATATATATATATATATATATATATATATATATATATATATATATATATATATATACTTATATATATATATATATACTTATATATGTATATATATACTTATAATATATATGTATACTTTTTTTTGGTGGCGGGAGTTAAATTTTTGGCGGTGACAAGATCCAATACATAGTTCCCTTTTACCATAACTAAGGCTACTTCGATACATTCCCTAGTTGTTATTTTTTTCAACTGTGATTACAAAACAAAAAAATCCATTTTTAGTAAAGTGTGTTCTGTGTACTATGGGCCATAAACCCCATTTTTCACCAACGTCCTTTCAAGGTTACTTAACTGTTTGAATTATAACAAGACTCGATGTAACGGAGCTTTGTGTCTCAGCCGTCGCACTTTAATCATTGGGACTCAATCGTTGTGACTCTACAGTGTGACTCAATCATTGGGACTCAATCATGGGACTCTACAGTGTGACTCTACAGTGTGACTCTACAGTGTGACTCTACAGCGTGACTCAATCATTGGGACACAATCATTGGGACTCAATCATTGTGAATCAATCATTGGGACTCTACAGTGTGACTCACCAATTGTGACTCAATCATTGGGACTCAATCATTGTGAATCAATCATTGTGACTCTACAGTGTGACTCTACAGTGTGACTCTACAGTGTGACTCAATTATTGTGACTCTACAGTGTGACTCACCAATTGTGACTCAATCATTGGGACTCAATCATTGTGAATCAATCGTTGGGACTCAATCATTGGGACTCAATCATTGGGACTCTACAGTGTGACTCAATCATTGGGACTCAATCATTGTCACTCAATCGTTGTGGCTGTGTTAGTGTGACACTTTCAAAGTGACAATAAATGTGACACTATCCCTGCGACCCGATCAGTGTGACCTAGTTTTATGTGACTCGCTGTCCTGTTCGCGTAATTGAAAACATGATCGGAAATGTGTGTACGAGGAAGTACAAAGTTTGTTACATTACATTATTGTAGACGTATTCAAACGAGCCACGTGACTACCGTATCGATCTATGCGTGCTCACCAAGCCCCGCCCCTTTTAGTTGACGCGACAGCGATTTTGGACATCATGACATATAGTACATAGAGCTTTCAACATTGGATGTTAGCTTTTATTTATTTAAACGTTCCGCGGGTGGTATGTTTAACAATGCCGGCACGCATGCATACACAAACATAAACACGTATAGATCTACATTTTTAAAAAAATGTTTTTAGTATATGCATAAGTGATGCTCATTTAGATGTCTAGTTGAGGTCATCTTGACCAGTCGGTCGTGTCTAGCCGTTCTGACTTCTAGTGTTGGGGGGGGGGGGGGGGGGGGGGGGGGAGGAGAGTCGTGCATGGGGAATTAGTCAGTGTTGATCACAATTGTGCAAAGGGGGGGGGGTGTTTGTCGGTGGGGTTGAGAAATGTGGTTGGGGTTGGTTTAATGTAGGCCCTGTTGTTTTAGCTACAGAGATGACGTGCTGTCATTGTTATGGGATGGGGGATGTGGAATTTCTTGCTTGTTGAAAATAAACCTGGGTTGTGGGTCCGTGTGGCTGGGTTGTTGGCTGGTCAATATTGTTGTTGTGAGTCTGTGCACCAATATGTCTGGGTTGTTGGTCAATGTGTTTGTGTTGTGAGTCTGTG